TTTATATAATCATCCAAATAATCGTCGTTTAATTTTTCAATTGAATCCTTCAAGAGTAACGAATTTAACGAATTAGAATTTTTTGAATTATTAGAAGTTTTTAACATTTTTGGATTTCTTTCATCTTGCGTATAGATATTATTACTATAATTATTATCATCTATAATTGCATATTTTAAGTACTTCAAATGTTGATTTTTTGTATTAATTGGAAACACTATCGAATCGTTTGATTCTTCTATAAACTTTACATATAATATGTCATCAGTTTCATCAATTTCATGAATAATTGCAGCGTTATTTGTACCAATTGTGTGTAAGAATGCCATTGCGTTCAAATTATTATCTATTACATTGCAACGACCTTTTACTGTTGTTACGCTAACCACTGTTTTAGCTGGTTGTGACAAAGTAAAAGAAGTTGGTAAATACATCGAAATTGGACTAAACATTAAATGATCTGGATAATTTTCAAATGCATCAGGCCATAAATATTTTTTTTCGTATGGAGTAACGAAAAATTTATATTTTATTGAATATTTCATTAGCATATGACCATTTGTATTTATATTTAAAAATGAATCGTAAATTAATAGAGATATTAATGGAAATTCTTCCTTTAATTTTATAATATCATTTTTTTTTATCTTATAATTTGTTAAAAAAGCATTTACAACTATAGTAAAATCTCCAATTTCGGGTAATTTTTTTAGAAAATCAGTAACAGATTCGATATTAGTTTCTCTGGGTGAAAGAACCAATTGTGCCATCGAAATATTTTCTCCAGCACCTTTCATCTCTTTTATTTCGATTAAACAGGTAAAATCTAATCCATCTTTTGGGTACATCAGTGCTTTTGAATTTCTCGTTTTATTATTTATAGACCTTTTAATAATTGAAGCTTGCTTAGAAATATGATGCAATTTTTGTGCATCGACGCTTTGATAAATATTCTTATATTCCGATATTAAATTTGTTATATTTTTCGTAGATAAAGCAAAAAACATATTTCCGTTTTTCATTATTTGCTCAAATTTACTAGATAACGAATTAAATTTAACGGTGGAATTCTTAGCAGTTTCATTATTTGCTCTTTCAAGTAGATATTGAACAACTCTTAATAATATCGTTGCCGCAGAAATGCATACTTTATTACTCAATTCGTCTAAATCAGGTGCATTCTTTAAGCAAGACTCAAAATATTTAATATAATCTTCTTTTGTATTTTTAAAATTATTGTTCGTATAAATTGATGAGTTATTAATAAAATCTATCCATTCAATATTTTTTGCGGAATCTTTTAGATTTTCATCATACTCTAAAAAATCTCTTTCATATTTTGGAGTATATCTACCCTTTTTTATATTACTATTACTTTTAGCTTTTAAGTAATCTGGTTCTTTTGAATATATATTATTATATTTTTCATATCTTTTTTTAATGCTCTCATTTTTTTTAAATGCTTCATCGTATATACAACATTCTATTTTATTCTCTTTTTCTTCGTCATATATTAAATTCATAGAGACGTTATCATTTTTTAATTTCATAACATAAATTTTTTTTTCAACGTATTTATTTTTTTGTTTTATTTTTGTCTTATATACATGTCCATTTCCTAAATTATTTGTTATAAAATTATGTATAATCTTATGAACGCCATCAATAATAAATGAACCAAATAAATTTTTGTCATTTTTTTCAATATTCCTTATACTCGAATCAATAATACTTCCAATCATAATTGGAAATTTACAATGTAATACCTTTGCTTCTCCATCTAAATATATTAGAATACAACAAAAATAACAATTTTTTTCAACATAAATATAATTAAAAAAATCTCTATAAATGTTATAACATGGACAATTAAGTATAATAAAATCCTCAAAATTTTTGTTGTACTCATAAATTAAAGTCGTCGAATGAAAATCGCCCATAATTTTCTGAAATAAAAAAAAAGGTTCAATTTTTTATGAAAAAAAAAATATAAATTTTATATAAAATAAAGAATAATGAAAATAATAATTATATAATGCTTTACAATATTAAGATTTAAATATTACTTTTAAAATATATAAAATAATAATATCTAAATAAGTCCAATTAATAAACTCTATCTTTTTAATTTTTTTATAGTTTTAGTATAACAAGTAAATATAAATATACAAAAAAAATGCTGTTTCCAACAGATAACTTACCAAAAGTATATTGTATATTTCAAACGACTTTTACTAATTGTAGTAGGGATAATGATGAAAAACTCGATATGATTTGTCAGAACCACTTGGATCTATTTTTTAATATTACCATAGAACGAGATCAACTGTTTACAAAACATAGATCTTTTTCTATTGATCGGTTAGCCGTAACTAAGTCATATGACGATATATTTTTACCTTTTCCTTTTAAATATCCAGTAGATAACAACGGAATTATTAATTTTGGTGTTGAACCTTGTCTTTCAAGTGATGGCGATCATCTAGCAATAGTTTCAAATTTTGGAAATATTCTCAATCTTTCTGAAAGAGAGAAAAAACTATATCCATCTATATTTTATTCAATTGTTGCAAATGGTTTTATAAATGTAAATAGTGAAATTATATCAATCACAAAAGAATTCTCAAGATATTTAACTGCATTTAGAATAAATCTCATAAAAAATGCTTGGAAAGATATCAAATTCTACGTAGTTTATACAAATGTTAACGGTGTTAAACAAACCATTGCAGTTGAGAGTAAATATATACCCATTTTCTATCTAATATTGTTTTCTTATGGAGAAATTTCTAACCATATATCTAATAATGCTGGTGCTCTCACTATTCAAAATAATGTTATTTTAGATTACGATAAAAAAGCATTCATTTATATAAATATAACAGAAACAAATCCACTCTACCTTAGAACAGATACTTCAACATTTTCATCTAATATAATTGTTGGTGGAGAAAAAAGAGTTGATGGACAAATTAATCTATTTAACAGTGGAATTAGAAAATTAGCAAATGTTTTCGAATTAGCCAATATAGTTAGGATGTGTAATCCGCCTTAAAAATAATATCAAGCTATTTTACATATGAATATTAATATTTAATTTTTGTCAAATTCTCAAAAAATAAATGAGCTGATCTATATTTTTCTAAAAAAGGTGTTTCATAATTTAATATGTTAATATGATCATTAACAAAAGTAAATAAATTCTTCGCAACAGATATAATTTGTAAGATTAATCAAGTCATCATTACTATTTAAAAACATTATAAGATTTATGTGTTCAATTGGTTCACTTATTTCTAAACAAACATCATTTTCAGCGATATAAAATGAAAATAATGGTTTAAAATTAATATACTTTGTTGAAAATATTTTAATCTTATCAAGAATATCTATATTTTTTATGCTTTCAAATAAATTTCTAGATTTTAAATATACCTTATAGTTTTCTATTATGCAATTTATTTTTTCTTCATAATTTTCATTTAAAATATTGTCTTCTTTTTTACAAAAACATTTATAAGAACAAAATTTATTTTTTATTAGTTCGGTCATCTTTTTTTTTAATTATATATTAAATGTAGTCTATCATCAAAATAATTCTTATCTATCGTTCTACTTATTTTCTTATCGTCAATAGAATTATAACTCTCAGTTTCTAATATATCAATATAAAAATTATATGGACTATTTATATCAATATATTCAATTGCATTATTTTCATATTCATCGTAAAGAGATCCGATCAAACTATAATTAACAGCCCAAATAATATTATCGATATATTTTTTTGTGTTTATTGAATTATAAAAATATGGACTATTTCTCAATATGTTCCAACGAAATTTTATATTTCTCTTATTCATTTTTAATATAACTAACATCCTTATAAAATATCTTATAATTTTAAATATATCCTCATCATTATAAATTTTTTTTTGATCGTTTTGTTTTAATTTTAACCATAACATATGTTTTTTTTCCTTATCAAACATATCATTCATCGATTTTAAATATGTTTCTCTTATTTCGGGTGTACAATATAACGATTTAGTTGTTTTATTAAGAGTTTGAATATTATATTCATCGTTTTTATAATTTTCGCAGATGGAATGTATTATTTTTTTATATTTATCTATTTCTATATTATTTACTTTTTTATCAATCCAGATCGACAAAATTGCATTGCACATAGAATCTGTAAAAACTTTATTCGTGAAATCAGATCCTTTCAGCATCACTAAGATCAAAAAAGCTAGTTTGGGAATTTTAAAATTTAATTCACTCAAATTATAAATTTTTGTAAAACTCTTATTTATTGTATATACAACATCGTTATAAGATAATTGATTGTGTAAATATGCAATATGAAAAATGTCCGTATCGTCTGTTAAAATTAATGAACGATTTTTTGTATCTCTACGTATAAAACATTCATGTTCTGCTTCACCACATATCAAATGAATTATTTTTATTTCGCTCAAATTAATTATTAATAATCGAATTAAAGATTTTAGAACTTCTTGTATGTTAAATTCATTTTTTATCGACTCTCTTCTTTTTTTTTAAGTTGCATATTTTAATGTTTGTTTTATACCATCTATATAAAAAAATACTTTATTTAATGATATTTCACCCTTTAAATTATTTATATTTTTTTGTATTAGAAAAAATGCCGTTTCTGCAATTTTACTTTCATTATAGTCACCATTTTCATTCTTATTTTCAGATATGCAACCAGAAAACATTATGAATGATCCATCAATGTATAAATTGTATGAACCTTCATAATCTGTTTTTAATTCCTTCAAATCAAAATTTTTAATGTTAAAATCCATTAATATTTTATTAAACCCAACAATACCCATTTTAAATGAATGAAATTAAATTTGCCTTTATTTTAATAGTATAAAGTACTAAAAAGACAACTTTTATCTAATAATAATAGTTTAATTGTATTATTTTAAAAAAAAGTAATTCGTATACTCTATTCTCATACGAATATTAAATTAGTAGGTAGAACATATTAGATTTTCCAAATAAGAAATAAAAATTAATATAAGTTAATTCTTAATAAATATGAATTCAAAAAGAAAAAATATTGATAATAATATCGAGAATTTCCGCAAAGATGATGAAAAAAAACAAAAAGTAGACGAATCGAGTGCATTTGATCATTCTATGTTGGACGATGACAGTAACGACGATAATGAATTTGTTAATTCTGGAATTTTGAAAGAATTGGACGAACAAAATCAAGCAACAATATTTGAAAACGTATTTTCGGCAAACTCTAAAAAGACTATTCTAAAAAAACGAAAAACAGAACAATTCGAACATTGATTTAGTTTTGAAATTAAATGTAGAGGTAAATGATATATCACAAATAATATCGATGAAAGCATTTCAAGAACTTTTAAAAAAATATAATAAATTAACTGAGATTGGGAGGATTTATGATGACCATATTTATAATTTCTTTTATTTGACCTTGTCGAAAATTTATTCGAACAAAATAGATAATATTATTTTAACTAAAACTATGTTTGAAACTAATTACGAAAAAAAAATTCTTTTAAATATAATAAACAATATTTTGTCAGGAATAATCTCTAATAAAGGAAATTGTGGAAAATCGCTTAAGACTATATTCTCAATTATTTCATTTGACGACGAAAAAAATTTTGATAAAAATACTATATCTAACGAATTAGCAAAATATCTCTTAGAATATTCCGTCCAAGAAGAAGAAGATGAAAAAAATAAATCCGAAAATACATCTATAAAAAGTAAAACAAATAATCCTGAAGATATTTCGTTTAAAGATTTTTTCGGAGCAGAAAATAATAAATTATATGAATATCAATTAAAAGAATATTTGTCACTAGGCACACTTTTTAACAATATATCTTTGCCTTTTACATTCAGATTAAAATCACTAAATAATTCAATTGTTGGATCTGTTGATAACCGACAAGACGGATTAAAAATAAATTTTGTAAAACCAATTCTAGTAAAATTAGCAAAAAAAGAAAGTGCGGAATTATTCTTTTTAACATTAAATGACGAAGAAAGTACATCAATAATAGAACATATAAAAGAAAATGTAGAATTTCCAGCAGACATAAGTATTTACGAAAATATATCTGTTTGTAATTATAAAACTATGAATATGATTTGTGTTAATGAAAATAAAGAAAACGATAAAACAACTTATAGTCCAACTATTGAACTTTTTTCAAAGACAAAATTAAAAGATACTTTAAACTATATGTTCATTATTATTGAATCTGTAAATTTAGAATATGATTTAAACAACAATAGATACAGAGTAAAAGCTTTTCCTATGAGATTTAATTGTTTTCAATCACACTCTATAAATTCTTGTATTTTATCTTTTAAAATAATAGATGAAATAAAAAATTATATTAAATAAGTATTCAACACTTTTTTTATAATAAAATTTATTCGAATAAATATAAAATAAATTACTTTTACAATAAGAAATAATCGTTTACTATATACAAATTAGGGATAAAGTATTTTAAATAGAACCTAATAACCTAATTTTTATTATAAAATCATTGGACTGTCCAGGCTTTCAGTATAGAGTTGGAAATAGTAATCTTTTTCTACAAAATTATTACTATTAGATTAGTAAAATCCAGAGCATCTCTTTGTATTTTACTATTCCGGCCACTAACTAAAGTTTAGCTAAAAGTGCGTTATGCCGTAGCGAACAAACAGACCCCAATGAATGTTATAATAAAAAAAATAATATTTATAATATTAAAATGGTTATTTACAATTTATTCAATTCAGCTATAGAATAAATTGTATTCAAAATGGAGGGTTCTTTAAAAAGTAGCTGAAAGGGAACAGGTAGGCTTTTTTTATTTTCTGTCTTTTTTTTATTAAAAAGATTACTTTGTAGTCTTTAAATGTGAAAACTATTATTTATTTAATAATTAGAAAAGTAATAGTAATATATTATTATAATTAATAATGTTTTTAAATCTACTCCTCCCGTAATTTACTAATTAAATCTATATATTTAAAGGCGTATACGATATTAGTATTATTCTGAATATATTATTTTAAATTATAAAATAATTATTAAAAAAAATTTATCTTTTGAATATTAAATTATTTAATTCTAATTTTCCTTGTAATATTAAATTTTATTTGTTCTAAACGTTTATTTTTTTTAAAAAAAAATATTACTAAAAAATAAACAGTTTTATTTTTAGAAGTAAAGTATATAAAGTATAGGCAATGAGATTTAGATTCATTGAATAGTTATCAAGACTGAAGAGAACATCTATTCACTTACATAAAATTATTACCATTACAAAATAGATATTTTTTAGTAAATTATAAGGCACTACTTTAATTTACTAAAAGGTGAGAAAATCTTTGTAATGGACGAAAATAATATAAAAAATACTAAATTAACTTATGCAGAAAAAAAAAAGAATTACATTACGTGTTCTGGGAATATAGCAAAAAATTTTAAAAAAAGGCATTTTATGTTATTTCAACAGGTATTTTTTTTTAATTTTTTAATGTTAATTTATTTTTATATTATTTCTTTTATTATAAATTTTTTGTGAATAAAATATTTTATTTATTACAGGTAAATTGTTGTGCAATAAGATTAAAGAAGAATGGATTAGCAGCTGCTCTTGCATTAGAATTTCCACAGACAAATGAATATATTAAGAGAACTTCGTTCAAGAATAAGAATTTAGCTACACCACAAACTAGAGGAGTATTAAAATCTGTAAATTTCGTTAATTCTGACGATAATACAAAACCAATAATTGCAAATTTATTTCTCAATACTGTATGGGAAAACCTTGTAACTATTATATAAATGATCCAGATGTAGACGAAAATTATAAAAATACTTGTATAAAGGAAGATTCCAAAGAAAAAAGAGTAGAAAATTTTAAAGTTTGTTTAAAAAAAGTAATAGATAAATTATTAAAAACTAATTGTTTTAATAAAAGAATTAAATTTTTAGTTTTTCCAGAAAAAATTGGATGTGCATCAGCAGGAGGAAATTGGTTAGTATATGAAAAAATTATAAATAAATTTGCTAAGTACGTTAATAAAGAATTAAAAGGGTTGAAGGTATATATATGCAAATATAAAAGATAAACAAAAGAACTAATAAAAAAATGTGTTATATTTGTTATTCCATCATTGAAGATTTTAATGCTTACACTTATGTTAAAATCCAAACTGGAAATATTTTAGATTTGTATGAAAAGGATGCAAGTGCTATGATATGTCTTAACCTAGATTGTATTAGTGTAAAACCCTTAAAACAGGGTTTATTACTTCGTATCTTCAATAGATATCCACAAACTAATGTATTAAAGAATAGAATACCAATGAAAGGAAAACAGAATTTAGCAACTGAAAAGACAAGAGGCATCCTTGGTACATTTGATGTATTTGAAGAATTAGAACATGGTTTGAGAATTACTTTAATGTATACTCATTTTATTATGGGCCCGCCTGGAAAATATTATAATGAAGTTCATTGTGATTATAATTTCAGAATAATGAGAAGACTTGATAATAAGGATAGCAGATTAGGGCATTTCCGTGGTTTGCCCGAATGAAATTTATGAAAAGATTCCAACAATGAAAGGTTTAAAAAAAATAGTCTTCCCACATAAGATTGCTTATAGTGGAGATTTTTCTACATGGAGTAATAATTTTAAAGCAATTTGTAATTTTGCCAAGAAAATTTATAAGAATCACAAAATTAAAGTTTACATAGTATTATTTGATTTAGATAAACAAATAAGAGAAACAAACAGAAAGTAGTATCATTTGATGAAAAATTGACAATAAAAAAATCAGAAGAATTAGAGGAACAGTTAATGGGAAAACCAGAAGAATTAGAGAAATGGGTAACGGGGAAAACCAAAAAAAGTCAGATAACAGGTAATAAAAAAAACCAAAAAGTTAGAGAAATATGTAATGGGAAAACCAGAAGAGTCAGAGAAACAGGTAATGGGAAAACAGAAGAGTCAGATAACAGGTAATAGAAAAACCAAAAGAGTTAGAGAAATTGTAATGGGAAAACCAGAAGACCCGGGAAAAAAAACAGGAGTCAGAGAAACAGGTAATGGGAAAAACCAGAAGAGCCAGAGAAAACAGGTAATGGGAAACAGAAAAGCAGAAAAACGGTAATGGGGAAAACCAGAAGAATTAGAGAAACAGGAAAGGGGAAAAAACCAGAAGAATTAGAGAAACGGGGTAATAGGAAAACCAGAAGAACAGGCAATAGGAAAACCAAAAGAAAATTTATAAAAATAGGTTAACTTTAAAAAAATCAAGATGAGTATGTATAGAAGATGATTTTAAAAAAGCTTATGATCTTTTCGTACTCATTTTTAAAATAGAAATGATAAACAGTATTTTCAAAAAGATGAAATTTCAAATTTTGTCAAGTATGTAAAATATTTAAATAGGAATAATGCTAAGTATAGTTTTTCAGACTGTGGAATATATATGGATGACTATTCAAAATGGCTAATTTCCCAAAATGTTAAGTCTTATTTTTGCAGAATTCAAATATTTATCATCCTATTATTGATGAAGATCTTTCAATTTATTCTGCATATAACATCTATAAGTATCCAAAAAAAAGTACTCAGAAAAAAGATCATGCAGAAAAAAATAGAAAAATTACTATAAAAAGAAAAAAGGAAGACTATTATGGTCTAGATGAATTTGAAATACCAAAGATTGAAATAGAAAAAGAAAAGAGAATTACTATAATGAAAAGAAAAAAAGCAGATGAAAATTTAGTAATAAAAAATGAAAACGATGGGTTAAATTTCCCCATATGTAATTACATTAAACAAAGTTACATTTAACAAAGAGTTGCATTTTACAAAGAACATAGATGTAATTACATTTAACAAAGAACACAGATGTGACTACATTTGACAAAAGAAGCGTAATAAAATAAAAGCAATGATAATTGAAAAAAACAAAGTACATTGAAAAAAAATTATTAGATGAATTTTTTAAAATATTTGATAGATACATGATTATATTAGTATATTAAATAGTGTTTTTATATTAGATAGTATTTCTTATAAAAGAATCAAAAATTTTATATAGCAATTGATTTAGATTGATTCTGTAAGCTATTTTAATTGAGATATTTCTGTACAACTTAGGAATTTTATATTTAGACGATTAGACTTGTATTTACAACTTGGAATTATATTTAAAATAAATGTTTTCATCAATGTTTTATATTATTGAAAAAAATAAAAAGAGAGTGTGTAAAATGATTTTAATTATACCAAATTTATTTTTTAAATATTTTAATATTGATAATTTTTCGGTAATAAGTAATAAAGTGTATAAATTTTATAAATCTACATTTTCATTAGATTTTGAAAACAATATTTGTGTAAAAAAAGAATCTTGTAGAAATAAAAAAAAAGACTATAATAATGAATATGAAGAAAGTGAAGTTGAAGAGTATGAAGAAATTAGTGAATTTGAGGAGTATAGTGAGGAGTTTAGCGAATTTAGTGAATACGAGGAATATTAAAAAAAATTTATTTATACTATAAAAAGAATGACATATATAACTAAATAACGTATTTATACTAAAAAAGAGCATAATATATATAGTAAGTATGTTTACTCTTATAAATAAAATCATAAAGAAATTTAATAGTAATTTGGCAGAAGAGGAAAATTATTCGGAAAACGATAAATATGCTATAATTGAAAATGATGAAAATGTAATTAAAAATGATAACAATGTGATTAAAAATGATGAAAATGTGATTAAAAATAATGAAAATGTGATTAAAAATGATAACAATGTGATTAAAAATAATGAAAATGTGATTAAAAATGATGAAAATGTGATTAAAAATAATGAAAATGTGATTAAAAATAATGAAAATGTGATTAAAAATAATGAAAATGCGATTAAAAATAATGAAAATATAATTAAAAAAGGCGAAAATGTTGAAAATGCGACTGAAAGTTTTGGGACAAGTTCTAAAATACTCATAGAAAAATACGATTGAAAATTTGTCCGTAGAAAATACAATTAAAAGTTCTAATACATCTACAAAAAATGATATAAGTAAATTTAATTCTACGAATAATGAAAATTGGTACTTAAATGTATACAACCAAATGAATAATATTGAAATTAATAAAACTAATACAATTGTTTCACATAAAGAGACAGAGGAAGAAGCAATTACAAAAAAAAGAGAAGTGAATGAGCCTATTAGAGAAAATGAAATAAATATATGTGTTCCAAATTTAGACATTGAATCTTTCGATCAAAGAAATAATATTGATAGTTTGATAGAAATTTACAAAGAAAAGGATGCGAACACAAAAGAAACAAAAGAACTATTTAATAATAAAAGTAATGCATCACAATTTTTTTCGAATAAATTAATAAACACTAATGAACAACCTATTATGACAAAAGTTTTTAGGAATATAACAAATTTGGGAGTTAATAAATTTTATGAGACTATAAATAACGACGTACTTGTGCATAATTTTAATTCCGACAATTATTTGTACGAATCTTGGTATACTAAATGTGATTATAAAAGAAAAATTTTATTTGAAAATGATCCAAATAAAAAAAATAGAAAAGTAAAGTATAAAAAAAATAAAAGTGATATAATTAAAATTCCATACAATTTGTATATTGATGGTGTTAATTGTTGTGATAAAGCTAAAATTATCGAGGCTATAAGAAATAATACTAATATTGATACATTTAATATGAGCAATACTAAATTTTGTAAAATAGACGTTTTTGGCAATAATTATTATAAAGATCAAATTCCTGGAATTATAAACAACTTTGATGCAATTGATAAAAATAATACTAAATTTTATGAACTAGAAATAAAAAAATGTTCTGAAATAGACGATAAATTATTCAAAATGATTAAAGATTGTTTTAGTATAAAAAGGAGCTTCGTACAAGACGAAAATTTTAAACCAAGAAAATTAATTTATAATAAGTCACCGATGTCTAACATTTATCACGAACTTATTTTAAAAACATACATAGAATTTATCAATAATATGAGAGAATTTAATTCCATGAAAAATACTGAAAATTCGGAAGTAGAAATTAATATTAAAAAAATAAGTAATTACATAAGAGAAATATTATGCAAAAAATTTATTACAAAAAATAATGTAATTAATAATGAAATTAACAAATTAGTCAATTTCGATGTTGTAAATCAATTTCCAACATATTCATAGTTCCAAATTTTTCTCATACTACGTCTATTTTAGAAAAAATGATAATAAGAGATAATAAAGTAGATATAATCGATAGAGTTTTTATAGATATTCAAATGTTGTTTTATTCAATTCTTTGTGAATTTGATTTTCTTAATATCTACTTTATACATATTCCAGAATGTATTAAAATGTATTCGATAGAATATTATGATTTTGTAACGGGTGAAATTTTAAATCTTTATAGTAATATGTTTATGTATAAGCATAAATATATTGATATACCTATTATTGAAAACTAAACAATTTTAATATATTATATAGGCTAGAAGTCTTTAATTTATGTAGGTAATATAGCAATTAAATTCTATATTTTTTTTAACTTTGTAATAAAAAAAATCATGGATACAATAATTATCATAAAAGATTATGATTTATGCGAAATTGAAAATTCAGAGACAAAAACTGAATATAATGAATCAAATAAAAATGAACACGTAGAAATCGAAAATATATCTGAAACTAAAAGTATCGCAGAAATTAAAAATGTTAGAATACCTAAAAGTATAGAAGATAATAAAAATATCGAAGAAATTGAAAATAGAAAAAAATGTAGTGATAATATTAAAGATACCAGAAATTTTGAAGAAATTAAAAATATGGAAAAAAATATAGATGAAGCCATTGGAAATATTGAAGAAATAAAAAATATGGAAGAAAATAAAGAAATAGACAGTATGGAAGAAAATAAAGAAATAGAAAGTATGGAAGAAAATAAAGAAATAGAAAGTATGGAAGAAAATAAAGAAATAGAAAGTATGGAAGAAAATAAAGAAATAGACAGTGTGGAAGAAAATAAAGAAATAGACAGTATGGAAGAAAATAAAGAAATAGAAAGTATGGAAGAAAATAAAAGTAAAACTATTAGAAATATTGGAGAAATAAAAAATATGGAGAATACCAGAAATACTGAAAAAATAAAAATTGCGGAAATTAAAAAGATAGAAAACGCAAATATTGAAGGGATGGATAATATTAAAGAATCTATGAAAGAAAAGTGTTATATGATGAAAAAAAATGAATTGAATGAAGAAAAGAAAAAGGATATAAAATTAAAAGAGAATTTAAATAAAGAAAAAGAGAAACTACAATTATTGAAAGAAAAACTAGATAGAGATTTAAGAATGCGTAATAGAAATGATCCTTTATTTAATGCTTGGTACATACCTCACGACTATTTCAGATTTTTTAAATTTTGTAAGAATAAAAATAAAATCGATCTTAAAAATAAACCAAGATATTTATACGTAGATGGTGTTATAGATTGTTCAATACCATACATACTTAATAAGATTAATAGGAATACTAATATACAAATTCTTAAAATTGGTAATAATAATTATTCTAGGTGGGAAAAAAAATATATTGAAAGATTCTGTGAAGTAAATTATGAAAAAGATTATAAATGTAATAAACAATATATTTGTTATAGGACACCTTTATCAAATCTGTTTCACGAATTAATTTTACGCATTTGCTCGTATATCGAAGAAGAAGACTATTCCATGGACGATATAAAAATGATTATCAGATTATTTTTGCATAGGTTTTATCATGCTATATATATTCATAGGCAGACTTCTACATTTGAAAATGACAGAGTTATATCTTATAAAGAAGCAAAAGAAATTTCAGATGGATTGAATAGAGATATATCTGGTGAAATTTTAAAACTTTTTATTGGATCAAACGATTACAGAAAGGTTTCATTCCATCATTCTAAATTAAATTTAGAATTTTCTTCGAGTATATTTATAATTCCACATATGGTACATATGGATGAAATTATGAACAATACCTCTTCGTATATAAATCTTTATATGTTGGTTCAAAGATTGTTCTTTTTAGGTTTTAGAGAAATGGAATTCGAAAATATTCATTATATACACGTACCGAGAGATATTGAGATATATTCAGCAGAATATTTAAATTATATTACAATGAGGATTACAAATATTTATAAATATCATTTTAATTGTCGTTCTTTTATTTATGATAGATGGAGAGAATTATAAGTGAAATACTCTTTTGAGATTGACTTTGTTATGCCAATATAGATCGAAACAAAGTACTAAATTTATATGCAATAAGTTATGAAAAAGTTTTTGGAATGGATCTAGATTATTATAAGAAAAAGGTAAAAAAAACCAAATAAAAGAGAAACATCTAATATTGAAAGTAAAGAATCAAGTACTAAGTATGAAAAAATTGAACATAAAGAAGTATCTAGATTTGATAAATTGAAATATTATAAAATGAACGAGAATTATTACCAAACAAAATTATTACAAATCTTGGACGATAATTTATATGGGCCTTGGTTTTCTCAATATGATTTTCGCAGATATTTTAATTTTAAAAAGAAGAATGGAAAAATACAAAATGATTATTTATATATAGATGGCATATTATGCTGTGCAGTATCATTAGTTCTTAGGAAAATTAATGAAAACTCAAATATTCGAGTTTTAAGAATAGACGATAATAAATTTTTCAAGAGTTCTATTAATAATTTAAATATTTTGAATTATAATGATGAACTTCATAGAGAATCTATCTGTTATAAAACCCCTATATCAAATTTATTTCACGAATTAATATTACTTATTTGTTCTCGTATAAAAGATAAAGCGTACCCAAAAAATAAACGGAAAGCAGTGACAAATTTATTTGTAAATGAATTATTTAAGAAACAATATAAAATTTTTGACTTTATCGAATCAAATAAACGTATGGATGATACTAATGTACAAAAAATAATTAATGCGATTAATAAAAATATTTCTGATGATAATATTAAAAATATTCCTAATGATAATACCAATAAAAAGAATACATATAAAAATATTTTATTGTATGATCACAATACTTTCCATGCTATATTTATAATACCGCATTACAGTCATCTTCCTAGTATTTTTAAGAAATTTAAAAAAAATTTAAATTATGATAACATATATAATAATTTTTATATAGAAATTCAAAGTTTCTTTTTTTTATGTCTTAAACGATTTAAATTTAATAACATTCATTATATAAATATACCAGAGGAAATAGCAATGTATTCAAAAGAATATCTTAATTTTGTTACTACAAAAATTATAAATAAATATACATATCATTTTATGTGCTATTATAAATATATTGATTCTGAAAAAAATATTAATGATTATAATTTAAACGTTTTTTGATAATAACACTATAAATAGGGCTGTGTCTTAATGTTTTTCACATTCATGTAGAACATTAGTTAGTCAACATACCTTTATTTATATATCTCAACATTATTTAAAATACACCCAATTATACAAAATTAGGTAAACGGAATTTATTGAAGTTTTTTAATTCTTTATTCTTATTATTTTATTGCTATTAAATTTTTTTTTGAAAAAAATTATTTCTAATAAAATTTTTACTTTCAGATATGGCAAATCTTGGAAGACTTAAGAAACTTGGAATTAACAAAAAATTAGTTATTTCTGAAAAAAGCAATTCTCAGAAAGATGATTGGAATATTGAAAAAAAAATTATTTCTTCTAAAGAAAAAACAAATATTGACATAGATGAAGAATTTTCTCATAAGACACCATCTTTATCAGGATTACTTAGTTCTTGGTATTTCTTGTTCAATTCATGGTTTTCTTTTTATAATTATGTAAGAAGTTTCAATTTCAAAGAGAAAAATGAGAATGAAAAGATTCCAAGTTATCTAAATGAAAACATTAAATATCAAGATGTTAACTTGGTCAAAACAGAACACCACAGGCAAAAAAATATATATGTAGATGGAGTATTTCATTCTTTTATATCAAACGTATTAGAAAAAATAGATGAACATACTAATATCAAAATTGCTAGAACTCATACAAGTGAAACTTTTAAAAACATAGAACCTGTTTGTATAAATTTATCAACAAATTACACGTTGGAAAATGATAAAGTAAAATCAGGTTTATTATACTATAAAACACCCTTATCAAATTTATTTCACGAATTAATTTTAGTTATTTGTTCACGAATAAGAAAAGAGTGCTGTGAAAATTTTGAGATACGTATAAAATCGATTATTCATTTATTTTTATCTAAATTAATACCTATTTATAATAAAATTGTGAGTAGTGATGAACTTCATGTAGAATGGGGAAACAAAATTGTAAAGGATTGGGTCCTTGCTATAAATAATAGTATTTCTGATGAATATTTAAGATTTTATTGTAAAATTCACGAAAACAAAAATCTCTTCGCTTATTTTGGAAATGACGACAAATGTTTTGATTATGAAAGTTCTTTGTATTTATTTGTAATTCCGGCTGAATTTCACACAAATAAAATTTCAGAAAAAACTTGATATTAAAGAAAGTAACAATATAGATAAATTATATTTAAATGTTCAAAGATTATTTTTTAAAGGATTTGCTGATTTCAATTTTAAAAATGTATATACTTTAGATATTCCAGAAATTTATGTCTTGGGTAGTAATAATTATTTAAATTTTTTAGCAAGAAACATTATAAAGATTTTTTGCACTCATTTTCAATATGTTTATGAGTTTGAAGATATTTCCTGTACAGACAAATTTAAAAGTCCTAAAACAAGAAAATCTGTTAAAGTTTTTCGAAACAGTAATTTACAGCAGATAAAAAACAAGTCAGCATCTAAAGAGGATTCTCAAGAAAAGAAGTTTCCAACAAAGATCTTTTGGACTAAAAATCTTGTATAAGTTTGGGTGTAAATATTTTGTGCATAAGTAGTTAACAAGTTTATACATGAGAAAAAAAATGTTGTTTATAGAACAAAAATTTGTGTATAGGGTTTTAAATTTATGAAATAATAATTCGTATATATTATTATTATTATTTAAAAGTATGAATAATATAGTAATAGAATATTATTAAAATATTTTAATATTATGGAGGCAATAGAAGATTCGGATTTTGTTGAGTTTAAAGATAATGTTTTAGTATTTAAAGATAATGATTCTTGTAAACACGAACTTTTTGTAAAATCTTGGTTTTTGTCCTTTAATGATCATAAAATTTATACTTTTACTAAAAATGAGGTTAGACCGATGTTGTCTGAAATGGATTATCTTTTTGTTGATGGAGTTAAGCTTTGTTGTATATATAAAATACTTGAAAAAATTAATAAATATACAAATATTAAAGTTATTATAAATAAGTTTGATTACGATGTTTTGAAAAATATAATACCAAAAAATGATTTGTATAAAATAGATATGTTGCAGAAAACAAAATGTTTATATAGTAATTCATATAATGATTTAAATGTTAAAACAAAATGGAAGATAATGCAAGAAAAGATTTGTTATAGAACTCCATTTTCAAATTTATTCGACGAAATTATTTTAACTGCTTATAAAAAAATGCGATGTTTTAACGTAGATTTTAATGAAGATTATGATTTTGATGAGATGAAATGTTTTATTCTAAAAGAATTAAACAAATTATTCATAAATGATGATGAAATTAGTGATATTTATAAATCTTTTAATAATTCAGATTTCTTTCATGAAAATGATGTCCTTTTAAAATTTAAAAAAGAAAATGTAGAGTTAATAAATTACTTTCCAACTATATTTATTATTCCATATAGATGTCATTTAAACGAAATTTTTAATGAACATAATTGTACCAAAGAACAAAAACTTTACTTAGAAATTGAACGTTTATTTTATATTATACTTGAAGAATTTAATATTAAAAATTTACATTTTGTGCATATTCCGGTAACGATAAAGATGTATTCTTTATATTATTATAATTTTATAATAGACAAAATATTAAAATTATATTGTGAAAATTTTTTTATTTCCCCCCAATAATTAATTTTACAGTAGTAAATATTAAAACAATATTTATGTAAAAAAATTACAACGTATTAATACTTATATGGTACTAAGATTAAGTATTTATACGCCATTTAGTATTGCTATGTTCTATTAAAATTATAAATAAAAAAAAATATGGCGTATGCAACAGATATATTTTTAAAGTTGGATGAAATATCAATTGATATCAATAAAGTCTTAAAAGAAAAAGATAGAAATAGTATGGATACAGATATAAGTGAAAAATTAAATAATCTTGAATTGAACGAGACTGAATATAAAAGAAATTTCATTGAAAAGAAGAAAATGTATGAAAAAGAACACGAAGAAATTAAAAAAGCGTACGAAAAAGAAATAAGCACAGATTTTTCATTTAATTCTTGGTATACATCTTTTGATTCTACACAAAATAAGAAGGCCGAAGTTTTTGAGGAGTTTAAAATATCTCATAATTTATATATTGATGGAGTTTCAAATTGCGATAAATCTTTTATAATAAAAAAAATTAATGATCATACTAATATTAAAACTTGTGAAATTAATAAACTATATGATTTTGATGAGAATAATAAAAAGTTCGAGGTTAATTTAAAAGATAATCATGTGTTTAATTTCGAAACTTCAAAATATAGTTTACAAATACTACAAATATTTCATAATATATTTAATATTAGACGAAAGAATAACGAAACAGAAACAAAATATGAAAGAGAAATAATTTATTGCAAAACCCCATTACATGTTTTATTTAATGAATTTATTTCATATCTATATTTTACAAGCATAGATAAGTGTTCTGATATATTAAACGTTGAAAATACAAAGAAAATTATTAGGGATTATTTAAATCTGTTTATTATTGGAAAGAATAGTACCGAAGACATTAAGAGGAATACGCAAAATTTAAATTTTAAATTAATAAATACAAAGATTATGAATAGTTTTTTAACAGTTTTTATTGTGCCAAATTTTTCACATGTATTGGATATTTTATGTAAAATGTATCGTGAACAAAGCGAAGAGCCACATAATGAAAGTTACATACAATTTCAAATATTATTTTACTCAGTTCTTGAAGAATTCAAATTCCCAAATTTTCATTTTATACACATTCCAAATAATATAAAAATGTACTCTACTATATATTATAGTCATATAATAGCTAAAATTTTAACTATATTCCGTAATGTTTTTAATCATAAATATCAATATTTCGAAGTTACAAATATTTAATATGAAATATTTCTTAAAAAATATAAACGGTAATTTGTTCGTATCTAATACGATATTAATATTGTATGAGATATTTAATTATTTAGATTGTGAAAGATATAAAAAAGAATACTATGATTCAAAACGATAAATTTAAATATTCTTCATGGTATTTACCAAAAGAAAGGTATTTATCAAAAAAGAACGAACGAGTAATATTAAAAAAAAATAATGAAAAATTGAGATCAAATTTTTATTCCAATAATAAACATATAGAATATCCATATATGATAGTTGATGGTCTTTCAAATTCTCAAAAAACATATATTCTCGATAAAATTAAGAACAATACTAATATTACTGTCATCAATCTAGGCTTTATAAAAAAAAACATATCGTTGTTTTATCGTCTATGGAATATATTGTATTTATTTTTTGTACTATTTAAAGATAATATTATTTTTAAAAGAGTGACTGAACAAATATACGTAAAAAGTAAATTCTCGTTTATATTTGATCAGTTTCTTTCATCAAATAATTTTTTAGATTTTAAAGAATGTACGTCTATAAATGAAAAGATTGAAATTATGAAACAATATATTCTTACATCTATTAATATAAACAATATTGATATAATTTTATCCAACATTATTCATTATTCCGGGAAGTACTCGTCAATTATTTGACATAATTCGTATGATGAAAAATAAAAAGATTAAGGAAATAAATAATAAAAAATATATAATATATCAAAAACTTTTTTATATAGCACTTGAAAAATTAGAAATTTCGAACATTTATTTCATTCGCGTTCCAAAAATTTTAAATATATATTCAATAGAATATTTAAATTTTGTGACGCAAGAAATTATAAGTAAGTTTTGTGAATTTTTTAATTATACATGTTAAATTTTAATAAAAATTTAATTCGTTTGAATTAATCTTTCATTTTTACGAGAATAAATTTTAATTATATTTGTATTATATTAAAATTATAGATATAGTATACAATAGTAATAAAAAAAAGTCGTTTTTTTTTCTAAAATGAATAACGTAAAAACAAAAATCGGAAGTTTTTATTTAGTGTTTTTTTCCATTATAATTATTTTTATACTAGTACTATACTTTTCAATTCTAAATGTAGATGTTTCTGAATATTTTAATTACTTATTAAAAACTAATGTTAAATTAATAAATGATAAATTAACCAAATTAATAAATGCCAATGCTATAGTAAATTTACCAAATATTAATTTAGTTACGAATGATCCTAATGTAGAGAATCAAGAAAAATGCAAGAACGGTGCTATTTTTATGGGCAATGTACAAACAGATAATACTAAATATTTAGATCAATGTAAAACTACTTGCGGTGGAAATGGAGAAATAATTATTATTACAGATACAGATGAATATTATTCTAATGGGGTAAAATTAACGAATGGTGTGTGGTGTGTTGTTGATAAAGTTGAATGTAATATGAACACAGGATATGTCGTAGCTACAATAAATAGTGTCGTATGCAAAACAAAATTTCCCAATATGTTTGGTGGTTCTTCAGCAGCAAAAATAATTGCTTGTAATAATGAACTATATCCATCAACTGGTAGTGTTTTGTGGGATTATAAAGAAAATGAAATAGTAGATCCATTATCGGTTAATATGACACACGAAAATGAAACATTACCCGATGGATCATTTAGGTTTATGTGTAAATATCAAGATGATATAAATGGAAATAAATTTGTAGCACATCCATTAAATAGGTTTCATCCAATTAGAGATGCTTGCAATAAAACGATTTATAGAGCTTCTCGAGAAGTACAAGCAATAATCAATAATGATACTTGGTATTGTGATTGTGGAAATTATTCTGATACAAGAGTGCGACATTTGGATCCATCAAACATCAAAAGTACTTGTACATCCTGTAATATAATTATAGACAAAACGAACAATTCTTTTGAAATGCCATATAATTGTTTTACAGTAAATTCCAGTTATACTGATGTTTTGAGTATGTTACCTTGTATAGGGTCACAATTTATAAACGAAGGTAATTTATGTTCTACAGTTTATTTTGAAATACAAGAATTACAAAAGAAATCAACAAATGCAGATTTAATTGGTGCAGAAAATTTAGCATTTTCTGATATCAATATAAATTTGAATCAACCGTTTAGAAGTATAAGAGAATATGGTTCTTTATAAACAACTTAATTTGGTGTTTTTTTTTAATAATATAAAATGAAAGGATATAAAATTATACAAATGAAAAAAATCGATTAAAAAGAGTTCAATATATTTGAACACGATAATTTTTTTGAATTTGATTTATTAATATCTATTACATCTGTTTTTATATTTTTATATACAACTACTTCATGTAAATTATGGCCACCAATTAATCCTGGATGTGATATCATTTTAAAGTCTCTATCTTGATTTATAGAATATATTCTATGCTTTGATCCTACTTTCAAAGAATCATAGCTATAAGGAGAAATCCTAATATCTAATAATTCATCTATTTTGTCTTTATTTTTTAAATTTTTTGCGAATTCGCTGTTATCAGTTTGTTTTTTATTTAAAATTGTTAGATCATATTCTGATAATGGTTCAATATATTTTGATCTTAGTTTTAAATGTGTATTTGGATTATTTCCCGATAAACAAGTTAATGGTGCATTACATTTTTCACTTGTTGATATATTCATATTATCACTAAATAAAAATATTGATGAATATAGATATATTTTAGACAATTTAAAAATATCATCGTTATTACGTATACTAAAATCATTACTGTAGTTTAAATAACAATAATAAAATTTTATTATATTTGATAGAATAGTTAAATTACATGAATGTAACTTATGTTTAAAAAGTTTCAAATTAGAAAAAAAAATTATTTCAATAACATCTGATAAATTTGACAAGAAATTAAAATATTTGATATAATATTTGTTGTTAAAATAAAATTCATAAATAGTGTCGCTTATTTTTGATATACCAAATAAGTTTATATTATTTTTTTTTAAATTAGTTATTATATTTGATATTTTTAATGTTTCTTTAATTTTTAATCTGATCCACCATACGTC